GTTGGAGTTGATCAAAGTTTGAATAAGTCTTCAACGGTCGAAGTAGTTGCCGAGTTTGTAGGTTTTTTTTTATTTCAAATAAGCCAAATACCGAGTTTAAGCTTGAGTTGGTTTAATGGCGTTAGTGGTGTTATTTGCTTCCATGTAAACAAGTCTCCTTATATATAAAGGAGCAAGTTCTTTTATCTCGTTATCAATTAAGAAANCTTTGATCGAACACTCTGTTTTGCTATTATAAGAAATAAGGCATTTTTTCTCGAGCGTTTTAGAACATCTGAAAGATTGGTATAAAGAGTCGACCTTTTACAGACCCAAATACCAGATTTTTTTGTTCTCTATTTTTCTTCTGTGAAGTGAAAAACAGAGAGACAAAAATGTGTGCTTTGAGTTTTTGATGGTAAAGGTGAGGTTTTTCTGAGGCTGCGTAGGTGCCACAACCCTTTCAAATGACGGCCACGACCGGAGAAGAAGAAGACGATGAGCTATTAAGTTGGGCCGAGTAGTATTTGGGCCGTTTTTATGGTGTAACACAAAGACTGCATCCCGTTTTAATCGGTCTAAATGACACGTCATTCAAGTCTTCATATGAAAAAAGGAAAAATATAGCCCGTTTATACATTTGGGTTCATAATAGGCGGCCCAAAAATGTTATTTGGCCCATACTTATTAAATTGTGTCCATATAAATTGAATAAAATTCCGGCTATTGAGACACGGTTGAACCGCGGTTTGGACACGGGTTTAACGCGGTTTGGCACGCATCCCTAGGTGATTTTATGTCGGTTATCATGCCAAACCGTGTCTGACTCGTGTCCGACCTGTGTTCGACCCGTGTCCAACCCGTATCCGACGCGTGTTCGACCCGTGTTTGACTCGCGTTGACTTTTTGTTTTCTCTCCAAATCGTGTGTTTTTTTTGTTTCAATTTTCAAAGGAGTTAAAAATGGCACCGCCGCCGTCGCCGTGGCCGGTGATATTCTCTTCTGGTCGCGTATCGTCGGGTTTTTATAATTTTCAATTGATTGATTGGGGAATTGATTCAGATTTGTTCGAAATGGTAAGAGCTTTTCGAAATATGAATCGATTTCGAAGACGATGAAACCCTTTGAAGAGGTTGATCTTAAAGAGTGAAACTGATTCCGATTTCATGGACTCTGATTTCGAGGATGGTATAAACACTGTGTGTTCGTTCTGGTATAAATCTATATCCGTGTGGGATTTTAATGGAAGTGGTGGTGATCAATAAACATGTTCATAGTGATAAAACATCAATAAAATTACCAAAATATTCTTTTGTAGGACTTGTGGCTTGGCCAAGTTCTTTAATTCTTATAAGTTAATCCATTTTTCATGTATGTAAGTATGTACAAAGAAGACTGTGTTGTCTTAAACTGCAGATTCACAATCCTTGTTGTTGTGTTGAGTTTCTTTAGTTTCATCCCTAAGAAGATGTCTAGTCAGTGACTCATGTTCTTCATTCATTTGTCTTCTCTCTTTGGTTTTACCCCAAAGAACTAAGTAAAGCCCCAACATTATGAACACTGCACCAACAATGCTGCAATACAAGTAAAAAAAAATACCGATATTAGAACCTTCTTTCTAATCTATTTGTAGCACAAGTTTCAATTTCTGTCTAAAATTTACTCTTGTGAAGTTACCTTCCAGAGTACAATTGATCACCGAGGAGAAGAAAAGCCATGGCAGCGACAAGAAGTGTTTGAAGTGGCTGAAAGACAGCGACAAAGACACGACCGCCTTTATGAATACACCATGTCTGAAGATAAACCACCACACCTGAAGCCACTATTCCCTGTAAAATGTGTTAGCTCATTTGTTTGTTGGACTCTAGAGTTTTTGAGTCTGTATCAATACTTACTGCGTAAAGGATGGTGAAGAGTTCTTTCCAAGAGACAATGATCCATTTGTTGGGATCAGTTTCCACAAACAGAGCAATGATCAGAAACTGAATCAGACCAAAGAAACATGTGAATGATGTCAAGGTGAGTTTTGCTGGGTACTTCTTTAGAACAGGAGCTTGAAGAACCATCCAACCAGCCCATGACAAGCTATAAGCATCCGAGTGTCCAGTTCTGCAATTTGTTAACGGACTCGATATTGTCATGAGAGTTGGTTTCTTGCGTGGTAAGGCTTCTCTGAAAGAATGGGTTTCCTCTGTACAATGTTATGGTTGTGGCTCCACCTATGCTCACTATGGTCCCTAACACTTTGGCCAAACCGTGTGTTCGAACAAGATTGATATGCTCGATCCTTGAAGTTCGATAAAGATCAACGTTTAAGTTAAGACTGATATAAAAAGATCATAAAAAGAGGTTAAGGTACCTAAGGACACAAGCAATGATGAAAGTGATTGCAGGAACATAGTTTTGCATTGCTGAAGCAAACGTTGGAGTTGAATAGTAGAGTCCTAATAAGTAGAATCCTTGGTTTGCTGTGTGATCCTGATGTTTATAAAATCAGAGAAAACCAAAAACATGAATCAGTTTTCCTACTGATTAAAGATTTTATTTATATTTTGAGGAAATTGATTAGTGATTAAATAGAAAGGTTTTCTTTACCCTATGAGTGCTAAGAAAAAGAACTGAACCAATAATGAGATTGTGAGAGGAGGCCTTTCCTTCCTGAAAAACACATTCAAAAAATGGTTTTGAGATCTTACTTAAAAAACCCTTATGATATCAAAATGATAACATTTTCTGGTGTTACCCCATATGAGATTAAACGAACAAAACTTTGTATATTTAAATAAGAAACCCACTTGAGATCAAGGACAAAAATTTATGGTGTTTATCCGAAAAAACCCTACATTCGAATCAAAACGATAAACAATTTCTTCTTACCCAAGAAAATATTTTTGTATAACCTTTGATTTGTTATCGTTGTTTCTAACAAGTGAATATAACTTGGTGGTAGTTTATGGAAGTTGACGAAGATTGGTTAGTCCTATTTACAGGACCAGAGAA